ACCTATGGGCCCCTTAGGCTCTTCAGGCCTCCTGGGACACTGTCTGTGGCCGACTCGGAACCCCTTCACAGCACAGGGTCCCTGTTAGACATTGTGGGGCCCCGGGCAATGTAAATTGCTGGCTCCCGCTTTTTTCTGCCTGGGAAATGGGCCCTCGGGCCCATGCCGCCACTGAGCCGGCTGTGCGTTACTGGTGGTGTTTGACCGAAATAAAGGCCCTTATCGACTCAGTCGGCCCCTGGGCAGCGCGCGCGGCTCTCTTGATGACATTGTAGTGTCCGGCCCTGCAGGCCCGGGGCCCCTGAATGGGGCCTCCGGCCGGCCTTTCGGACCTTTCGGATCCTTCGATCCCTCAAATCGGGCCCTCAATCGTGGGTTTCTAGGGACCCTAAGGGCCCTTCGGAACCTAAGGGGGAACACGTGCCTCCTGTGCCCCCCCACCCCGCACTGCCTGCTCTACTGCTTCAGGCCAGCGGCGCCTCAAGGTCGGAAGTTGGAGCAGCGCTGTGAAACAAATCAAAAGTAATCACAGAACAGCTGATTTCCTAGTTCAGCCTTCTTCCCTTCGTGATTACCCCAATGCTGACGATCCAGCGGGGCCGATAAGACCGATAGGCGATGGCCGATGGATGCGGCACCGTTGAAAGCATGGCCCCGTTCGATCTGTCGTCAGCGCGATTGTCAGCTGGACTGTGTGACGTCACGCCGTCTGGCTGAGCGTTCGATTTGTTGGCTCACGGAAAAGTTTTTTGTACTGGCTTACCGCCGACACTCTTCGTACAAAGTGGTGTTTGGAAGTGTGGCTTCTGCTCCGCTTTTACCGTCATCTATCCTATCCAGATATTAAATGATTTTTCCCATTTCCAATTCGTTTCAATTTCATCGCTATCATTTTAAGTGTTTACTTATAACGCTATTAATTTACTGGGCAGCGTAACCATACACCACACCAGTCACCGCCACTTGCCTTTTCATGGCTTCTCTTTGCATTTCGATTCGCTCCTTATCTATCTCACCTCGCATCTCCCCCAAAATTAGATACATGTGCCCCGATCCCAACGAACGCACTCGCTAACGCAAAAACAACCAAACTGGTAGCGCTGTCTCTCCATGCTGACGGACTGACAAAAAAAGAAGAATCCTGGCATCATTGTCAACCGGCGCGTGACGTAACAGGCCACGTGTCTTTGTGGTTACATGACCTGACGTAGGGCGAATACTGGGCCATGATTCATGGTGACAAACGTGCTGACGACAGATCGAACGCGACCTTCGTGTGTGGTTTTAAGTAAAACAAAAAGAAAGAAGGGTAAGTAAAGTTAAAAAAACTTTCCTGCCAGCTTACACATCAAACACTCTGTCAGCGCGTTTGACATCGTGCATTCCAGCAACAAACGTGCTGACGATAGATCGAACGCGGCACAGGCATCATCGCCAGCCGGCACGTGACGTCACGAACTGCGTGAATTTGCAAATATGTATATACACACATATACATATATATATATATATATATATATATATATATGCTTAATAAAACGGGAACCCACCTTACTGTGCCCAGCCTTACATGAAGCTAGGCATGCTACTTAAACGTGCTTGGGCGTGCTACCACTTGGACGTGCTACGTGCTACCACTTGGGCGTGCTGCGTGCTGCACGTACATAGAGCTCACTCATTTTGTACCGATTATGTCAAATCCTGCGATTTTTAGGCCAAGTGTTTCGTAACGACCTGACAAAATAAACTCATGTTGGCCGCTAAATGCCATCAAAACCAAGCGCGGACATTAGTTCTAGTTTATTTACGGCTAGCCGGCACGGCGATGTAACCAGGTGATGGCTGATGACTAATGCATAATTTTTCCTTGGTTGCAAAGGAGGACACAATATCCTAACATTCAAAATATGTTTAGAGCATGATGCACAAGTGTAATAAGTCAGAAACTCAATAGCCAAGGAAAATGGTGCGTGCTACGTCGGCGGCACGTAAAATTACGTTCGACAATGGTGCGTAAAAATTCATTGGCGCATATCCGACTACTGCTCTATTGCCAAGGCATGAATGCCAATAGGGACAAAACCTGATCTATCATGGGGGCCACAGGAGGCAAACAAACAGGCTCCCGTCAACAAGCATAGGGTGCCCCAAACAAGCAAAAGAACCCAAGACCAACGTGGTGAGCCTCTAAACTATCGGTGGTGCCCGGCAGGCTGACATATAAGGCCCCGGCCAAGGCACAGGACCCTCTCAGCAAGGGGGTTAACAAAAAGAGCCTTGACAGGAGTGAAGAGTCCTCCGAAGATGAGATCAAAGGGAAAGAATCCCTGATCAAAGGAGGGGGGAGGATCGAGTGTCTCGTTGACTTACCATGTATGAGCTCGAGCAACAGCACAAGGCCCTCCGAGCAAGCGGAAAGAACCCGAGACTAATATGAAGGGCCCCTGAGCAACTGAGTGTACGCTGCCATTAGTCTCGGACACCGGGAAAGGCACCGGGAAAGGCGTGTAGAGCCTTTCGGGCGAACGGGAAAAATCCGCGGAGGAAAACCTCATCGATCAAGAATCAAGGGCAACGTGGAAGCACTTGATCTGCAAAGAGATCAAGGGCAACGTGGAAAACCCCTTAGCGATCAGACTGACCCGGCAAGTGGACATATAGGGTCCGGGCAACAGCGTAATATCTCTTCACTGCGTAATGAACCGCAAAATTTCCCACAAGAACACCTCTAAATCAACCAGGAATTGACTTCCCCGCTTATGAAATCTTCAATTTTGCCAGCAACTGTTCTAGGTCGTCTGTAGGCTCAAAGACGTCCAATTTTGTTGTGTTTTTGTTTTGTTATAAAACTGTGTCCGTTCGGCCGGTTGTGGGCCCCTTAAGAGTCTTTAAGTCCCTTCGGCATGGTCCACAGGGAAATGGTTCCGTGCGTTCCTCCCCTCAATCTGTTATTGCCAACGACCTGAGCAGCTTAATAAATGGGGCCCACCAAGAACATAGGGTCATCCACTCAAGTAAGAGGAAACCAAAACACAGCATGGAGAGCCTCGGAATGATCGAGTGTGCCCGGGCAGGTATCGGATGGTAGCCCCCGACAAGGGCGCAGGACTAGTGCCCGAGCAAGTTATCATATAGGGTCCCTGTCAAGAGCGTAGGGACCTCCATCCAAATAGGAAGTACCCTAGACCCAATGTAGAGCCCCCCCCCCCCCCCCGTATGATCAAGTGTGTTCGAACAGGTTAACAGATACGGCTCCTAACAAGGGCGCAGAGCCCTCCATTCAAATAGAAGCACTCCAGACCCAATGTAAATGGCCCCCCGAACGATGGTATGAACCCGAGCAACTCATCAGAAGAGGTCTGACAAGAGCGCAGGGCGCTCCACTCAAATAAGAAGTACCCAAAACCCCGTGCACAGAGACCCCAAAAGATGGAGTCTACACGAAGAGATTATCAAATGGCCCCCGACAGTAGCATAGGGCCCTAAATTTCAATACCAAAGCCCAATCTGCAGGGCCCCCGAGCAATCCAGTGTGGCTGAACAGTGAGGCGAACAGAGAGCGCCCCCCGACAGGTGCGTGGGGCCCAGTTTAAATAGGACGTACCCAAAACCCAATGTAGGGAGTCCCGAACGATCAAATATGCCGGAGCAGGTTATCAGATAGGCCCCTGACAAGATTGTAGGGCCCCCATTAAAACAAAACTCATCTAAGACCTAGTGTGGAAGATCCCCAAAAGATCCAGTGCACCCATGCAGGCCGTCAGATGGTCCCTGACAAGAGCGTAAGGTCGTACATTAAAATACCCAATGTGCAGGGCTCCCAAGCAATCCGTTGTGCTTGAGCAGGTTAACAGATGGGCCCCGACAAGTGCGTAAGGTCTTCCTTTCAAGTATGAAATGCCCACCACATGATGTAGAGGGATCCGAATGATCGAGTGCACCAGAGCATGTTGTTAGGTAAGGATATCGTTAAGAGCGTAGGGCCCTCTATGCAAATAAAACGTACCCAAGACCTCGTGTGGGGGGCCCCTTAAATATGGAGTGTACCCGAGCCGGCAAACAGATGACCGCGACAAGAGTGTAGGGCCCTACATTAAAATATCCAATGCGCAGGGCCCACAAACGATCCAGTATGATGGAGCATGTTAATAGATGGAGCGCCGACAACTGTGTAGTGACACCCATTGTAACAGAAAGTACCCCATGCCCATGTTGGAGGGTCCCGAACTACCGAGTGTGCATAAACAGGTTTACAGATGGCCCCCAATAAGAGCGCAGGCCCTAAGAAAGTGACTTAAAATTGGAAGCGTCCTGGACCAGTGTAAAGGGCCCATGAGGATATCGCCAGTGTGTCGGTAGGTGAACCAAAACCAACGTAAGGGGCCTCTGAGCAACCGAGAATAGTCCGGCAGGTTAACGTATGGGACCCTGGCTATAACTGATATAGCCTTTCCGGCGAATGGAAAAAAATCCGTGTAGGGCCCCTGATTGACAAGAACGCCCCGGCACGCTTGCAGGAAGGGCACAGCAACAGCGCAGTGCCCTCCGAGCAAGCGCAAATAAATTAAACGCAACGTAGAAGACTTCTTAACAATCGGAATGACCCGGCAAGTAGGCATATAGATCCCCGGAAACATTGGGCCCCTGGAGAGCGTAATAATGCTTAAGATTCCCAATTAACAAGTTTTTCAATCACTGAATATTTTTTATCTTTTCTCGTGGGCCTTATCTTTTGTTTTAAACTGTTCTTGGTCGTCTGAAAACCTAAAGATACCCAGTTTTGTACATCTTTGAATTTCCAGACCACCAAGAAAAGGTGCGATTTGAACGTACGCGGCCCCTACCAACTTTTCAGGTAGCATTTTCCTAGAGGATTTTCTTTATGATATGGCAGCTATTAATTGGTAGGGTTTCATGCGCATATTTGACAATAGTGGCATTTGTCAGCTCGAGAATCTATGTATAGAAAGATACAGATACGGTTCTCGTATGATGCTGCATGAAAAATAAAACCCCTAACACCCTAATTCCTTTTGGTCATTACTCTCAGGATATTGTTTCCTCAATGAGCTCTAAGCACAAGGTCCTCTGTCGTGCAGTTTGTCTTAGAATATCATGGTGAAATTGGTCTGGCAGTGCTATGGACAACATGTGAACATGTGAAATGATTTTGAGCGTTGTGCCACTCTGACACATTTAATTTAATAGTGTGTAAAGAAATGAGTAATTTGGTACAGCTAAAATAGATAATGATGTGCCATGAGCTTGGACATGCCTGGTGCATGCTGGCATAGTCAATTTGTTCCATCATGTCTTGCTTTTTACATGGTATCCTATATAAAATATATCTCAGCTTCCTATATGTGAAGTTATGTGGTCATGCAATATGCTGATATAAGTTGGAACCCCTACATGATACCAGGGCAAGTATCAGCTAGATTTCAGTAGGCCCCATTGTCCTCAAATGATGGCATTACTGGGCATTGTACACTTCTGTCATGTATGCTTTTCCAAAAAGCACAAGTGTAGGTAATTAATGATCATTGGTTGTAGTTTAGGCTGTATTCTCATAATCTACTGGCTATTCTATTTAGGGGAAATTTAAAATGATGGCCAACTGAAGGACCACAGTTATATAGACCTAGAACATAGCAGCTTAGGTTGATTCATGGCTGGTGAAAATAAAAAGCATCAAAAAAAGGAAAGATGGAATGAATCAAAAATAAAATGAATTTCTGGTTTGCATTTATTATTGAAATGCCATTGATTTTCATTGTCATAATGTTACTCCTTTATTAAGCCTGGTTTCTTCACTTCAGAGCTTATCAAAGTATGCTGCTCACATTTATGAGACTGCAAGCTTCTTTGCCCACCAAGAATGCTGTTATACACACAATCAGGTAAATATTTATAACTTTTGTTTGATGGATTAGATGTATTAATTTGCTTATTTTGCTTGAACTGTATTTTTTAGGTGCAATATACATGTGGTAAATGCCTCAAGCATTGTCATGCAGGATGTATAATGGGATATATTCATATAATTGCCATGATAATTGTACCCAATGTTTTGGCTGGTGATTTTTCTGATTAAAAAAGAAGAGTGTTCATTCTCATTTATTCTCAAACATTCTCAGGATCAAATAGCAGTTTAAGATGCCAAGAGAAGTACCTGTGGAAAACTTTTTCCTGCAAATAAAGACCATTGGCTGGGACAGATGCTTGAATAATTAGTTCACAAACACTTAAGATGGTAGATATAACATTTATAAAAAATACTGTGCATAAATTAATCAGACCAGTGCACACCAATGTGTTTTCATATGTTGCAAGCATCCAATTACCCCTGATTTCAGGTTATCATGGTGCAAGCCTTGCAAGCATCTGCTCAGCCAGTGCAAGCCATCCAACTTGGCCTTCCGTGTGCGCGCTGGTCCCGCACGGCCCGGCCTTTCGCCATGGCTGCTGGCGCGTCCACGCTTATCGCGCTGCTTGCCTGCTGGTCTGGCCGTGGCAGCATGTGGCGCCTGGCGCTGGCGGCTGGGGCGCGCGGCGGCGCTCTGCGAGGCAGAGCACACGCGCGTGATGCCCGAGGAGGCGGCCACCGAGGCGGCCCGGCTAGACTGGCGCCGCCTCTGGCGCCTGCTCTGGCCCTACCTGCACTACCTGGTCGGCGCGATCTTTGTGAGTGACCGGCGACGAGTTCGAGCTAGTGCACGACGACTGGGGAACTGCCGGTCAGCATATGACAGTGGTTTTGGGATATGTTTGACGGGAAAATTGTAGCGCAGGGCGCGTCCAGCGTTGATCAACCTGCACTAAGCTGCGCCGGCTGACAGCATCGTCCTCCGCAGAGCGCCGCCGTCGTCGCCCTCTGCAACGTGGAGGTGCCCCGGCTGCTGGGCGACCTCATCAACGTGCTGACCCACTTTGCGTCGGGCGAGGGCGGCGGCCAGTTCAGCGACGAGCTGCGCCAGCCGGCCATTCGGCTTATCTCGTTCTACGGCCTGCAGGTGCTGCACTGGGATGGCCGCAGCTAACGTCTGGTCCGGGTGATAGGGTGCTTTGTACGGGCCGGTGTCGTCTGATTGACTGCTTCTTGTCTGGCGTCTGGTCCTGCCTGGCCTGGTGTGTAGGTGTTTGGCCTACAGTGGTCAGCTAGAACTACGTGCGTTTCTGTACGCTCAGCTCTGGTCTTCTTTAGTGTCGTCTCATCTCTTGGACAAATTCACCCTGTGAGCCATATTGTTCTCATCTAGCCAAACCCCGTAAGGTTCGCGTCAGTCTGGTTTAACCCTGTCTGTTTTTTCCGGTCTTCTGTGTACCTGCCTGGTCGTACGCGATCCTCTCGGTCACATCCGGTTCTCACTGATCCTGTCTGGGGCACGTCGGCGTTCCCCGGTTCCCGCTGATCCCGTCTGGTGCATAATGGCGCTCTCTGGTCCCCACTGATCATATCTGGTGCATGCCGGTGCTCTCTGGCTCCTGCTGATCTTGTCTGGTGCGCGTCGACGCCCTCTGGCTCTCGCTGATCCCGTCTGGTGCACGTCGGCGCTCTGTGGTTCCCACTGATCCCATCTGGTGCATATCGGCGCTTTCTGGTTCCCGCTGATCACGTCTGGTGCACGTCGGCGCTCTGTGGCTCCCACTGATCTTATCTGGTGCATGTCGGCGCTTTCTGGTTCCCGCTGATCCCGTCTGGTGCACGTCGGCGCTCTACGGTTCCCACTGATCCTATCTGGTGCATGCCGGTGCTCTCTGGTTCCCGCTGATCTCGTCTGGTGCACGTCGGCGCTGCCTGGTTCTGCTCATTCGACTGCAGTGACTGGTCAGCTGCGCCTGGTCCGTCCTACTCGGGACTGCTCAGATGGTCTTGTCCCATCTGCAGTAGTCCTGTGCTGATCCTGCCTTGACACCCTAATCCTGGTCTAAACTTGCCCATGCTGATCCTGTCAGGACACCCTAATCCTCGTCTGAACTAGCCTGTGCTGATCCTGCCTGGACACCCTGATCCTGGTCTGAACTGACCTGTACTTATCCTGTCTGGACGTCCTGAACCTGGTCTGAACTAGGTTGTGCTGATCCCATCAGGGTACACTGATCCTGGTCTGAACTAGCCTGTTGTGATCCCATCAGGACACTCTGATCCTGGTCTCAACTAGCCAGTGCTGATCCTGTCTGGACACCCTGATCCTGATCTGAACTAGCCTGTGCTAATCCTGTCTGGACACCCCGATCCTGGTCTGAACTGGCCTGTTCCAATCCTCCGTGGCATGTGTTTGTGCTGTCCTGTCCATGTTTGCTTCAATTCTCTTGTGTGCTTTGGTTCTGCTTGCTTCCCTCTGCTTCCGTCTGTTCTTGCGCGATGTATGTGGGGCTGTCAGACTCTTCCTGACCCTGTTTGGCTCGCGGAGCTTAGCCGGCCTACTGGACGCCGTGTTGCTCGTTGGGCTCTGTTGATAGTGATTGTGAGTGTGGATGGTGGTCATTGGCCACCGGGCTGGTGAGTTGGGATCAGGGCTGTCTGCAAGGCATATTTGGATGCTGGTGGGCAGATATAAATTTCTGGATCTGGTCAGCCTGCTTAGCGACACTGTATTCACATATGATAGTTATTGTCTCTTAACCTCTCAGAGAGCATGTCGCGTGTTTTCGAGCCAATTGCGCCGGACTAATTGCTATGCTGCCTTCACTTAAGGATAAAGTGTGCGTCATTAAAAGCCACGGTGAATGCCGCCGCATTGTGGATGTGACACTCTGATGAGGCTTTGTCACTTTTCGCCTAATATCGTTTGCCTCAGATGACGTGGCAGTGCAGAAAGCAGTTCGGTTTTCGTCGTTAGTCATTTGTGTTTGTTGCTGCTGCTTTGCAATCCCATGGTGCCCTGGGCCATGTCGTGTGCAAATCTACTTCGTTGTCATGTCAGCCACTGCACTACACAGTGGCGTAGGGGCTGAACATACTCCTCGTTTCGACACCTACTGAGCACGCTGTCTGTCGTTTAGCCTCTGCTATCGACAGCTGCCCTTCACAGGGTTCTGCGTCGTGCCCATTTCTCCTGCATCTATTGTCGAGACACCCCTGCCGCGCGCTCCACGTATTACCTGATCACACCAGTCCGCCCCCTATCGCCCACAGTCGCTGTTCACGCTGGCCTACATCGTGTGCCTGTCGTACATGGGCGAGGGCATGGCGGCCGACCTTCGCTCCCAGCTGTTCGGCGTGCTGATGGAGCAGGATGTGGCCTTCTACGACCACCACAAGACGGGCGAGGTCATCAACCGGCTGACCACGGACGTGCAGGACTTCAAGAGCTCCTTCAAGATGTGCGTGTCGCAGGGCATGCGCAGCATAGCGCAGGTAACGCGGTGCCGATGTGGAGGTGTGTTGCAGCATCAGGGCTAGGCGCCGAAGCGGTCCTTTTGCACGATGGGCGGATTAGCCACATTTTCATGCTCGTTTGTGTTGTGTCTCATTTCTTCCCATATGCACTGCTTGTTACATCTTATTTTCATTTACAGTCAACCATTCCCATTGCCAAGAATAGCCAATGCCAATGCTGGAGCACGCCGGCACAAAACCTTTCGTTAGCATTTGCTTCTGTTTCGTCGGGCATGATTATCAGCGCATCCACATCTCCCATTTTATATGGCACAGCTGATTCATGTGCTATCTACGGACATACTTCCACTCTCTTGGGGAGTGCGAGCAAGGCACGGGTGATCAATTGACCATACATCTATACCGGAGATCTTCGTTGAACTTGTGGATGGTTAAGCAGTGTGCCATTAAAAAACATTGGGTGTCTTGGAAATAATATAGTATGTGCAAAATGCTAGCCTAACATGTCCCTCAATGCACCTTTTATCGTGTAAGGATTGTCTGTTACCAGCTTCCGGCAACAGGTGATCAGCTTCCGGAGGAATTAATGCCTCCCTGAATTTGATCTGTTCATATGCAGTTAGAATATACAGGTGAAACCCTGCAATGTCCGATGCCGCAAGATATTCTTGACCGTGTGAAGTAAATAACTGATTACCTACACTACCAATATTAAGCTCACCATCACTTATGCTACGGCACATATGGTGCATTTGCTGACTGCCCCACACAGCCACACAGTCCACCACTCGGAGAGAACCTAGGACTTCAAGTGGTGGGTGGTGTGGCTGCCCTGTACCACATCTGTCCCTACCCAGCTTACTCTGACCCTCACCACCAGGTGGTGGGGCAATGTTATGTAAACACACCTGTTATGTAACACACCTGTGTGGCTCCCCTGTACCACACTCGTCTTCAGTTAACTGTACCCCTCACCACCAGGTGGTGAACTGTGTGGCTGCCCTGTACCTCACCTGTCTTCAGTTCACTCTGCCCCTCACCGCCAGGTGGTGGGCTGTGTGGCTGCCCTGTACCACATCTCGCCTCAGCTGACGCTGGGCTCGGCCATCGTTATTGGCTCCGTCGTCAGCGTCGGCACGATGATCGGCCGCGGCCTTCGTGCCATCTCCCGCGACGCCCAGCAGCAGGTCGGTTAGCCGTGCGCCGGACTGGGACGGGCGGGTCGCTCACCCCTGCTTCGAAATTGGCCTCCCCTAAAACCGGATTTGCTGGTACGTCAGTTGTGCCACTAGGTGTTTGGGAGGCATGAAGATTCCCCGCGGCGCCCGCCCGCAGCCAGGGCGAGAGACAGGCAACACGATGTAGTCTCAGCTGTTGAGTGCGTCCTAAAGCCCCAGTAGCCAAGCCCCAAAGCCATGTTTTGCTCTCTGACTGCTGGGTCGTGAAGTTGGCGAACGTAACGTTGAAGCAATGCGCGCAAGTTTGTGCAGATGGCAGCTCTGTAGGAGCTGTGCTGTTCTTGCCACGCGTTTTCTTTTTTTGTATTGATCCGGCGTTCATCTGTTTCCCACCTGTCACCAAAAGCTCTAACTACCTGCTCCACAGGTTCTCAAACCCCTTAGTAGGCGCAGTGTTTTTCTTTGGGTCGTTACCGGTGGTGTCCCGTCGAAAGACAGCTGTATGAGCCAAGCACCTCGTCGATGTCGTGCGCACTGTACAGAGAGATTCTCGTGTGGCCTGACTTGGACTATCGTCTCTCCGGCGCCCCGACAGGTGGCGCACGCGACAGCCGTGGCCGAGGAGGCCGTGGGGAACGTCCGCACCGTGCGCGCGTTCGCCATGGAGGACAGCGAGACCGAGTTTTACGTGGAGGAGGTCAACAAGTCCCGCGACATCCATATCAGGCTGGGCGTCGGCATCGGGCTGTTCCAGGTGGGGGCGGAACGTAACAGGATGCGTGCGCGCGTGCGTGCGTGCGTGCGTGCGTGCGTGCGTGCGTGCGTGCGTGCGTGGGTAAGCGGTACCTCCAAAGGTTGAGCTTGCCTTGCTCTCATCCCTTCCATCTGCTTGTCTCTGCTTACTTATCCCTTAGTCCTTGATTCTCGCAGCTCCCTGTCCCCGGGGCAAGCTGCGAACGGCCGCCAGGCGCCGGCTTGAGTCTCGCCGCAGCGGCAAACCCTCCTTACCGCCGGCATAAACCCCGGAGAGAAGGCCCCTGTGCGTAGTGAGGTGCGGAAGTGGAGGTCTCCCATGATAGTTGCAGCATCGTCCTATTACTAACCTTTGCCCCGCGATCTTGTGTATGCAGCTTTTGCACTACTATATCCCAAGTAGAAAACGAAATAAAGGCCCGCCTTTCCTGCCAGTGTCAGAGGCAGACGACGCCATATAGCCTCAGCAGCTAAGTGCGTCGTAAAAGCACAATGACACACAAGGCCAAACAAATGCGCTGGCGGTACGAACAACTGAAGCCTGGCGTGAACTAACCGAGCGTACCGTGCGGGTCTGGCAGCCTCCAACCCCCGCCGTCCAGGCGCCTCGGCGGTGTGCCGCACTCCGCCTCGCACTCCGCCGCCACCCTGACGCCGCCGGCCCGGCAGGCGGGCGCGAACCTCTTCATGAACAGCGTGGTGCTGGCCACACTGTACTACGGCGGCTACCTGATGTCGCAGCGCCAGCTGACCGCCGGCGACCTGATGTCGTTCCTGGTGGCCTCGCAGACCATCCAGCGCTCGCTGGCGCAAATGTCCATTCTGTTCGGCACGTTCGTGCGCGGCATGAGCGCCGGCGCGCGCGTCTTCGAGGTGAGAGGCTCAGCGGCCCGGTCGCTGCCGGCGGGCAGGCCGCTCGTGAACGCCGGCAGGCGTCTGTGGTCTGGTCTGTGGTACTGTGGTCTGCTACTCTGCTATGTGGTATTGTGGTATAGGGAGGTTGGAATTTTTCCAGTTAGCGTCCCTTGTTGTGTTCCGCTGAGATTATTTACTAGGTCCCGTTGCCTGCTTTAACTCTACCAAACTTGAGCACAGGGTCACCACGAGCTACGACCAGCTGGCTGTTCAGAGCTCACGTCCATCCTGGTGGCGCTGCGCATGCCATGTGGTTCGGTGCTCTGGAACATGATGCATATTGCATGTATTTTGAGCTGAACTATTTTGAGGACCTGTACGGCAGCCACTTCCCAGTCGTCACATGAACTCCTGAAGCGGGACGGACCGTAACGGCGCCGTCTGCGGGCAGTACATGAACCTCCGGGCTGAGATTCCGATCCGAGGTGGCGCCACCATCCCCGTCAGTCAGCTGACGGGCAGCGTCGAGTTTCGTGACGTCACGTTCAACTACCCCACCCGTCCACAGGTGGTGAGTTGGCTTGGAAACCAACAGAAGTGATGGTTGACGACTTGGATGGAACGTTCCGTCGCAGGGTTGGGGCTGCCTGCTGAGTGGCGCTCATTTATCGAATGCGGCGGCGGTCGTGATCGGACTCACTGCCTCGCAGCGTCGGCGCGCCGCATCGCACTTGCAGCGTGGCCATAGTCCCGTCTCACCTGATAGTACCTCCGTGTCGTTGGCATAGTGGCTTGTCGTTTCTGACGAAATGAGTGGGGTTCAAACGTGATCTGAAATATCTATTGGTATATGTTTGAAATTCGAAGGAGCCAAGTGGGAACGACGTGCAACAGGCAGTTAGAAATGTGGGTGGAGATGATAAACCCTTTTAAATCACAGCGTCCATTACTGCATTACATTATGGAAATTACTGTCCCTCCCTCCATGTCCAGGTGTCCCCGGCGTGGTGAAGGATGTGCTCGTTTTCCCGTCCAGGTGGTGTTGGACCATATGCAGCTGCACGTGCCCGCGGGGCACATGCTGGCCCTGGTCGGCTACTCCGGCGGCGGCAAGTCCACATGTGCCGCCCTGTTGGAAAGGTAAGGCCGGCTGGGGAGCAGTTCTGAAGAGGTGTGGTCACTGGGAAGCAGTGCTGCAGAGGTGAGGTCACTGGGAAGCAGTGCTGCAGAGGTGAGGTCACTGGGAAGCAATGCTGCAGAGGTGAGGTCACTGAGGAGCAGTGCTGCAGAGGTGAGGTCACTGGGAAGCAGTGCCACAGAGGTGAGGTCACTGGGAAGCAGTGCCGCAGAGGTGAGGTCACTGGGAAGCAGTGCTGCAGAGGTGAGGTCACTGGGAAGCAGTGCTGCAGAGGTGAGGTCACTGGGAAGCAGTGCTGCAGAGGTGAGGTCACTGGGAAGCAGTGCTGCAGAGGTGAGGTCACTGGGAAGCAGTGCTGCAGAGGTGAGGTCACTGGGGAGCAGTGCTGCAGAGGTGAGGTCACTGGGGAGCAGTGCTGCAGAGGTGAGGTCACTGGGAAGCAGTGCCGCAGAGGTGAGATCACTGGGAAGCAGTGCTCTGAAAATTAACTTTGGAACCCGAAATGAACTGTTGAACTGTTAGACTTGTGTCAAATAATATGGTCATCTTTTAGCAAATATTTTAAGCTGTCATGTCTCACATCGTTTTGTGTGTTGTCAGGTTTTACGATCCTGTGTCGGGCCAGGTGTTGTTGGACGGGCATGACCTAAGGTCACTGGACCCGCACTGGTTGCGAGGGCGCGTGATCGGCTACATCAACCAGGAGCCCGTCCTGTTCGCCACCTCGATCAAAGAGAACATCCGATATGGCCGGACGGACGCCACCGACGAGGAGGTAGCGCACACTTTTTTTGGCCTGGTTTGAGATTGTCGTGGAAGACAGCGCCTTCATTGTATGGCCGTAATTATGGTTTATATTTTGTGAGACAGTATGGGTTGTCAAAGCAAAGTGAAGGCTTACGTTTATGTCCTACTATAGAAATGGATATATTTAGTTTTGATTGGCTGGATAGCAATAGAGATATGAGTGAAGTGTGTTTCCGGCGGCTGGTAAGCGTTTCATCGAGGTCGCGCTTTCTGGCACGCTCTTTCCGTTCTACTTGTGGTTGCCTGTACATGTGCCATTGGTCTCGACAGGCATCGTTTAAGCTGCCTGCAAAATCGTAGCATCCCTACCTCCATAGCATGCACGCGGCTGATGTTATCCGTGCCTGATGTCATCCGTCGCTTGTCGTCACCGGCGCCGGTGCCGGCTCCGTGTCCGAGACGGGCCCACTCTGCCCGCGGCACCGTCACTCCCGTCTCTCCCCACTCCTCCGCAGGTAGAGGCGGCGGCGCGGCTGGCCAACGCGCACCAGTTCGTCTCGGCCCTGCCCGACGGCTACGACACGGCCGTGGGCGAGCGCGGTGTGACGCTGTCCGGCGGCCAGAAGCAGCGCGTGGCCATCGCGCGCGCTCTGCTCAAGGATCCGCGCATCCTCGTCCTGGACGAGGCCACCAGGTGCGCAGCTGGTGCGGCCGCCAGCTGAGTGGCCCCTTGTGGCCTCACGGGTGGCGGAGACCGTGAGCGCCAGCTGGTGGTGGCTGGGTGCGTTTGTCGCGGTTAGGACAGCGGTGCGCTGTACGAACGAGGCCAGCTGCGAGTCTCATGATGGTAGAAATTCAATGATCCGACTGAATGATTTAATGATGCGACAATACCGTTGTATTCTGTGCGTATGACAGTAAACTGAAATCAGTTCTGTGTGGAAAATTGAGCAATGCCTGACTTGAGACAACTCGTGCAATTGTGTTTGTGCGGTCATATTGATATAAACACATAGGTAAAGTCGTTACGAGGGCAGACTGCTGCCATATGTGACTTATACCGTTAAACCATGAAAGTGACGCCAGGCGCCGGGGGACGCAGAGCTGAGCGTGACCGGCATGATCTTGGCCGCCCAACAGCCCATAAACAGACCATATAAGCGTCACGCGCCACACGTCAACCTTTCGGTGCTGACATCACGACCCGCTGGCACGCGGAGAGTTGCCCCGGGCATGGCGGCGCAGGCGATGACCTCTGGCGCCGCGGGTCTTCCACAGCGCACTGGACGCCGAGTCGGAGAAGGTGGTGCAGGAGGCGCTGGACCGGGTGGTGACCGGCCGAACGGTGCTGGTGATCGCGCACCGGCTCTCCACCGTGCGCAACGCAGACACCATCGCCGTCATTGCCGACGGCAAAGTGGCCGAGGTGAGCGATGACCGTGCAGATGGGGATGGTGATGGGGGTGAAATGATGGATGGTGAATGGGATGGTGATGCTCTAGATGACAAGCCTTTCCTAGTCATGTTTTCCACATGGGTTGATAATAGTAATGACTAGTGCTACATGCTTTCATACACAGTTTAGTCATAACTTGTTTTCTGTTTCTGGTGATGACGATTATGAGAATCATTGGGGCTTTGGGGTGCGGAGGGTCTGTCACGCAATACTGTATTGCACATCTTATTCGTTGCCAATGTGGAACGTTTTTGGGTTGCAGCAATCTTATCGAGGATTCCAAACAGTTGCGTGCTTATTGTGTTGGTGCATTACCGCTGTCATCGTTGCAACTAGGATGGCAGGAAAATCCAGCGGTGGTGACAGAGCTTGACCCCTTGTTTTACTCAGCAGCTAGTAGTCTTTCATATTGGGCTGTCGGAAGGATTTCCGGACTTGCTTGTGATGCGAATCATGCTTAACTCCACTGAAGAGATACCGGGAGACCGCGGAGGCCAAGCGTCCGCACCGAGCGTGGCAAAGTGACGTATCGTGTGGAGTATTGAGAGGATCAGGCGGCGCGCCGGGGAGCCGGTGGCGGCGACAGCGGCTCAAGCTGCCAGATCAGAGCCGACATTCTCGGTAAACGGGATCTCGGTGGGACAGTATCAGCCACCAGCAGCACTACAAGCACACTGGTATTGTGTCGGGCTGCCGACACCGTGCCCTGCTCACTCCGCGCCGCCGGGCCCTCCGTCCCCAGATGGGCTCGCATGCGGAGCTGGTGCGTAAGCGCGGCCTCTACTGGGACCTGGTGAAGCACAACACGCTGCGAGAGGAGGGCGGCGCAGCACCGGCCGGCGGCCGCTCCTTGTGACCTCGCCCGGGGCCAGCGGCACGCGGCGCGACCCTGGCCGAGGTGGCGCGCCGCGGCTGGGCGCTAGCTGTTGTTACTGCGGCCGCGGGGCGGCGGCGCGCGGCCTGTTAACGGAGGTGATTGTTGATCGTGAGTAGGTGATCCACGCGCGCGGTATGTTGGTCTTGTTCAGGACGGAGGTCACGCTCTGTGGCGAGCGATCGATGTGTTCAGGCTCGGCTTTATCTCTGTGACTTTGGAGTGCTTGATCATTATCAATTGTGCTGTGCAATGGCAAGCCTCGCCGGGAGATTGGCCCCTGCCCAGACTGCCTCGTGTGGTGCGGCCTTTTTGCTGGTAGTTGTCTGCTGCTGGTATCGGCAGACAGCGTGCAGGTTTCCTAGTGCCCACGTCTGACCCGTGACTTCTGGTGGCACCGAGCTGTGCCGGATCACGTGCTGCACTGTATAGGAACTGTTCTGCAGGATATGGCATACAGTAGGGGAATATGCACCCAACGATTTACCTCTGCCAGTCATGCTGGCACTCCACTTTTGCGCGTGGATTTCCTGAGTGGTAAACGCCCATTATCAGGGAGTTGTCTGATGCTCGGCAGGTATTACACGCGAACTATTTCGCGATGAACAATGCCGGCATTTACAGAATGTTTCCATGGTGATCAATACAATCGGGTCAATCGAGCGCACTGATTGTGTTGTTTTCGGACGCCTTTCAGGGGGGACGAACTGTTGACTCTATTTGCGCCACAAGGCCGGATAGATCGAGTGAGGCGCGCCGCCGACGACCGGCCGCGCTGCCGAGATGTCTCCGTCAGGTGTGACAGATGCAGCGCCTGTGAATCGATAGTGCGCCGCGTCGGGGCGGTCGCCGCAACGTGTTTTCGGTCGCACCTGCAGCGGACGCAGACCTCGTCCTGTGAAGGCGCTTCTGATTTTCTGATTGATGTTTTATAGTGGGCTAGGGGGCGCGGGACCCGTTTGCTCCGTACCGCGCGCCGTGCCAACCGGCGTGGGTGTCCATGTATTTTGGGGGTTCTGGGCACCGTATTGGTTTCAGACTTCAAAATTGAGCGTAACGCTAGCACGTACAGGAAAGCTTTACACAAACGGTCTCATCCGTCCAAAACTACTTCCGAAGACTCAGTGACAATCGGGAAATGCCCCCTGCGAACGAGTGCAGCGTTTCGCACTGTCCGCCGCGGCGTCATCCGGCCGCCGCGAGGGAGTCCAGTGTCGGTGCCTTTTTGACCGGAGATCGATCCAGGATGGTGGCAGTCATCGCCGTAAGGTCACGAAGGCCACACAACCGAGCAGCCCCTGGCGCCTGCGCCAGTCTTGCGCCACGGAGGTCAGGAGTGGCCCGGTCGGGCTCTCTGTCGTCAATGGAAGCCCTAGAAGACAGCAGCGCCTCACGATGAGCCACTGTAGAGAACTGGTCAGTGATACTCCCCCTGTTCCGGGCTGGCTGAGCCGAGTTAGAACTACCCGCCGTGTCTGCCGCGTATGCGTTAGGCGATGGTCACTGCCAGGCGCACAGCCTGTGTCCTCAGCCGAGTGATTTGCTTTATCCTGACAGTGCGCCTGACTCGGCACGCACTAGCGCTGATGGCGCCGGCACGTTAAGTGTCTTGACAGCCAGGCATCGAACGCCACCCCGCCACACAGCTCAAATGATTCGCCACGTTCCCCCGCACCAGTTTCGACCATACCTCATCCTGTCCGTGTCTGCGCGGCTCTGTCTGTCCCCCACCCCCACCCCGCCACTCTTTGGCGGTTGTGGCACGTCCACGCGGGGGCGGGCGGGCGTGGTGGGGCGCGCCAGCAGCGCTGGGGGGCTGGCAGCGGGCGTGCCCGCCCCCCCGGCTCTGCCGCGGGCGATCGAAGACGCGCCGACCCGCCATTGATCGCCGCCGACGGGCTGGCTGCCGCCCGCGCCACGCATACGCGTCCACCGCCCGCGGTCAGCCGCGCCCCCGGCCGGGCGGGCCGCAGGCCACGGCCAGGCGATGCCGCCGGGCGTGCCGCCGCCGCGTGGTGCCGTGCGCTCCGTCGTACTGGGAACGGCGGTCAGTAAACAGCGCGAGTAATGAGTGCCAAGGTCGCGTGGGCGTGGTGCAGCACGTTTGGAACCGACGTCTTCGCGGGACATGTGGAGAGCACTCGGCGCAGACGACGTCGAGAGGTGGGGCCCCATGGGACTGGGCGGGTTATTGCCTGGCTGCGTCCTGCGAGACTCAAAGATGGCGACGGCGCTCGATGCCCCCGCTCAGGCCAACAGGGTCGCCCCGTCCCGCCTTCCGTCCGGGTGTCTTGCGAACGCCCAGTCCGCTAGCCGCAACAGGCGGACGGCGCCGGCCGCAGCCGTCCCGCGGCGGGGCGCGTCGACCGTGTTCCGGAGATCCCACACCATTGCTGGACGGTCGTCTGGAGAGGCATGTGCTCCGACTGTCACCTTGGCTGTGTGCCAAATCCAGGCTAGCCTGCGCAGACAGCTGGTCACTTGACGACAAGTTTATTTACCACTCCTTGGACGCACCTACAAGATATGCTACATCTCCTGGTGTACATTCAGATGATTTAATCGGGTCAATGTCCAGTATCAGATAAACGCTCAAACGCTTAACGAACCCAGGGCGAACCGGGGACATATCACAAAAGCAGCTGGAGATTGCGTACACGAAACCTGCAACAAATCCTGTCCCAGTCCGCGTCCGGATCCTGAGCGCAAAACAATCGTTCGTTAATGGCGCATCCATAACGTATCGCTAGCATGGGCAACGTGTCATGGACAGCAGAGAAAAATCGAAACACGGACGCGGCGACGTCCCCGGGGGGCCACTGGTCGTCGCATAACAGCCGGTGTATTGTCCAGCCACCGATAAAATACCGTGAGACCAACAACACCCAACTAGCGCGTCCTACGGTAGCAGCGCGTCCGGCGCGCGACCGGCCTCCTCAGGCGCGCCCGGCCGACAACCGGCGCACACCAGGCGAGCGGCGCCGCAGCCGCCGCCGCCTCGCAGACCGGGCGCAATGCGGGTCGACGGGACAGGACGCGGCTGGGCAGTGCTGGTGCGGATAGTGCGGTGCCGTCGCGGGGGCGGCGGCGGCGGCGGTGGAACGGATGCCAGCCGAGCCGGGCCGGGGGTGGGGAGGATCCGGGCAGGAGCGGGTCCAGCAAGAGCGGACTGAGGGTGACGCGATTGGCCGATGCCGGGCTGCGTCTGTCGGGCGCACGCAGGCCCGCGCGGAGGCCGGCGGACTCGGCACACAGGCGGCCGCGAGCGGCAGGGGCCGAGGACCAGTACTGCGCCGCACTACGAACCCCCCGCTCCCCAACAGCTCTAAGCATGAGGTGCCGACTTCCGAACGCGACCGCGTAACAGCAATAACGACTAACAGCTTGAGCTACTTGCGACACATCGAGGAGCGACGGGGGTCATCGCGCCGACCCCGCCGGTCGGAGCCCTGCCGCCGCGCGTCATTTTATGTTGATGCCGTCCTTTTCCATACGGCCGGATAGTCGGGCTTTTCGTGGGGCACTCGTTGGCACGTCTGATGCGTCTGCGCCTCATCGGTGGTCGCCGCAGCGAGCATATCATGCCACGTGGGATATCGGGTTACTTGTTCCCACAACTAAGCTACTTTAGACCGGGCTCGGGAAAAAATGGGACCTACGGGTTTTGGGAAGGCTGCTTCAAGAGGAATGTACAGCGCACCGTAACTCCTGCCCAAACCAATACACATGCGCCACAAGGGCTCAAAAGTGCGGAAATAACACAGCTATCTGATGTTTATCAGAACAAGAGAAACAAACACGTCACCGCCAGAACTGGATAGGACTGGTGCCCCCACTGATGACCCTCCCAGTTTAAATTTGAGAGCGTGAGGGTTACAGCAAGACAAACGAGTGCTCTAGCCCCTTTCTGACCAAACACACGCACACAAAACAACGTATTGGAATATGACTCCATCGGTGTGGGCAGTTGGGCCTATGACGGGAGTCCAAGAGCGGGTTCGAAATAAATGCTACAAAGAAAAGCCAGAGTACGAGCGGCTACGGTCTGGCTGGGTGGAGACTCGCGTCGAGCACTTACAACTGCTCTACGGCCTAGGGCAGCAAGCAGAAGACAACGAGCAACGGTGCGTCGGACAGAGCGGCGGCGCGCGCCTCCGACAGCCATTGCGCGTGCTCCAGTTCCGGCGCCACCAACCTGCAGAACAACGACCGCCTAGTGAGACACGGCGCGCCCGCGGACTACGCACGGACACAGCTAGGGCGCGGGGCTGGGCCGGGGCCGCCGGCCGGTCGGTCGGGCAGCGCCGGCTAGCGGGGCCGGCCGGGCACCGGCGGCGGCGCGCCGGCCCGGCTCGGCTGCAACGGCGGCGGCAGGCCCTGGCGGCCGCCCGGCCGCGACGGCACGGCCGGCGCCGGCCGGCTGGAGGCCGGCACCGGCGGCGGCCGGCTGGCGGCCGGCACCGGCGGGCCCCGCCGCGCCGCCGCCGGCGACGGGCCGCTGCTGGTGGCATTGACCCAGTCCATGCTGACGGCAGCCGAGGTGGGCGCCGCCGAGCAGGCCATGGACGCGCTGCTGATGATGCGCAGCGCCTCTTTGCAGGCGTGGTACATGCGCAGCATCTCCTCGCGCCGGGCCGCCTCCTCGGCCGACTCCTCCATCATGCTGGCCTGGTCGCCGCTGGCGTACAAGTGCGCCAGCAATTCGCCCATTATGAACGTCTTGCTCTGGTTGATCATCATGTACATGATGGTCTTGGGCACCAGGTCGCCGGTGGTCTTGGTCACGATCTTCATGTAGCTGTCGACCAGGTTGCGGATAGTCTCCACCTGGCGCTCGAGCTGCGGGTCCAGCGAGGCGGTCGGCTCCGACGCGCCATCCTCGCCGTTGGCCGCCGTCTCCTTCTCCGGGTAGACGCCGGCGCGCAGGAACGACGCCTTCCACGAGTCCATTTCCTCGGTGCTCTCACAGCTGAGCTCCAGCTGCTTCAGGTCCTTGTACACGTTCTTGCCGCCGGGCGAGAAGATGGCGAACGCCGAGCGGCGCGACATGAAGCCGCTCTCCACGTCGCGCAGCTTCAGGTTGTCCAGCGGCAGCATGTACTTCTTATCGCGCTCCTCCTCATCCTTGAACCAACTGAGGCTCTCCGACGTCAGCACGAACCAGTAGTCGCGCGAGCCGCCGCGCATGATACCCAGGTTGCTGATGCCCAGGAATCCCTTGCGGATCACCTGGTTACCCAGCTTCCGGCCCGTTTTGTTGGCATTCTCCGTCTGCGACTGCGCGTTGGCGAAGCCGATGAAGTCCTCGTGGTTGGTGTTCATGTAGGCTAGCTCGCAGTCGATCAACAGGATAATTTGCTTCTTGACCTCAGCCTCGCGCTCGCGGATGAACGTGCAGACGATGCGCTCTGTCTCGTCGCGCAGGCGTGGGTAGCGCGCCATCTTGTCAGTGCAGGCGCGCACCACGTTGGTGAGCTCCTGCACCACCAAGTCCACACATTTGATGCTGGGCTCTTTCAGCCGCTCGATCTGCTTTTTGACGATGGCCTCGAACGCCATGTCCGGTGTGAAGAGGCCGACGCGGATGCCGTGGATGTTGCGAATGGCGAACGCGATCTCCTTGCGCAGCTCCTTTTCGTCGAACTCCATCTTGACAATCTCGAATGGGAACCGCTCGTGAAAGAGTCGGTTGATCTTGGCACCGCCAGACAGCTCGATGGTGTTGATGCGCCCATCGCCCTTACCAGATCCCTCAATCGACCGATCAAAGTCTGCCTGCAACTGTTGGATCATCTGCAGCATTGCCTTGGTCTTGATGCTGGGGTCATCTGGTCTGAAGTGTTTGTACTCCTCTACTTCCTTCTCCATGCTGAGCAGTTGCTTTTGCAGCCGGTCACGCAGGGCTGGCAGAGTCTCTTTGATGTGGTTGGACAGCTGCTGGTTCAGAATCCGCTGCAGGTAGGGTGTACCCATACGATCAGCAAGCGCCCTGTATGCTGGGTGACTGAGGAAGAACTTCCTCTCTGCTGCAAGAGCTGCCTTGATGTCTTTGCGTCCCTCTATGTCTCTCTGACTGCGGTTGACAACACCCACATAGCCACGCCTCAGTGGATAGGTTCTGTTTTCCAGGATGTCTTTGGCATCTGTCCCATCATCCATGAGGTCCAATTTGGTCAGGACACCAATTGTACGCATCCCATCAGGATCCACCTCCTTTGCCATCTTTAATGCATCACTTATTGCCAAGTCTTGGTTTGCAGGAGTGACTGCCAAAATGAGGCAGTTTGGCTTTGAGATAAACTGCATGAGCATGTTTCGGATCTGCTCCTCAATGTCCTTGGGCTGGTCACCCACAGGAACTCTTGTCATGCCTGGCAGATCCACCAATGTCAGGTTCAAAACATGGGGTGAATATACTCTGAGGTTGATGGGCACTGGACTGATACCCTTGTTGGATCCAGTCAGCCGATCAGTCTCAGCCTCAATCTCTTTCCGGATGTCATCAAAGTTTGCAAACACTTGTCCTTTGCAGTGAAGAAACTCTCCATACTCAGTCGGACTGTGCAGAAGCTGCAGCACAAGTGGACGTCTTGTGACTATACCAGATCCACGGGGAAGGAAGTCCTGTCCAACAAAGTTTTCCAATACAGAAGACTTTCCAGCACTCTGTCCACCAACAACTGCAATCTGTGGTAAGTCCAGCTCCATTGACACACCCATTTGTGCAAATGCATCCTGCAGCTGATTGACAATCCCAATCAAATGTTCCATGCCCACATTGCCCGCCATTTTGAATAAGGTTGATGGATCTTCCCTTGTGCTCCGCAAAGAGTGATCGCTGCTTTCTTCTCACGTCTAAGCTCTCACTCCCAGCATTATCATAACATGCGAAATGAAAGATCTTGATCTCGCAGATGAATGAGCATCAAGTTCCCCTGGAATGTCGGAATCCGCTCTCTCTCAAAATTCGAGTAATATTTCTAGCACCCTATCACACCACAGGAGAGCTTCACATCTGCCACAATGACTCACTCATGCCAGTTCACAAAACACACGGCAGCCCGCGACGCGCCACACCACCTCTGACAACTCCTACCGATGGCGGCTCAGCCTGGTACAGCAGGTCAATATTTTCCTGTTACAAACGATACAAATACAGCGCAGACGAGACAAGAGCTTTGTCCGTGTAAGGTGTCGACCACTATTTGAAAGCAATGCAACTAAACATGGTTACGCCCCAGATTTATTGGGTCTTCTGCTGACATGTGCCTCTTTTTATTCTTCCCTAGTCAAGTAATTATCAAGTTGTAGCCTGAAAGCTTCTGGAATGGAAATGTTGATTACACGGAATAGACCATTGCCCTTTTTATTTTACCTGGCTGGTCCGTGAGCAGAGGTCAGGTAAGAGCCATCTATGATGAGGCCATCAAAGCTTAGCATTTGCCAGCAGCCGGTGCACAGCTGTCAGCAGTTGCAATATACGGGGGAGAGTACATGACTGCATGAGAGGGTCAGTGACGGGGGACCGCATTTTCGGATGTACGGAAAAACAGCTTTGCAGAGACCCAACAAACGGCGTGGGCCCCCCTGACGGTGGCGGGCCCCTACCGCCAGCAAAACTGACTACATGCAAGTAATACCTTAAAACGAATACATTTTTTTATACGATACGAATGTGAAAACGTGAAAGACCCTAGTGAAAACGTCTACTCCATAAAAATGGCATGCATCTCTGGGCTCACTTTATTTCAGCGGCCCACTTTCTTACTCATGCTCATTTTATCCTTAAATTACAACAGAAAAGCTAGGAGCTTCCAGAAACTGAGATGAGAAACAATGAAATGCACAAAGCAGGTATGGCATGACTACATTGAATAAGCCGTCAGCGCCAGTCATGTTACAGTGCTGATTTGGCTTACTAAAGGGTAACGGTCAGAGGAATTGCAGGATCTATTGTAAAACATTAAAACACTGGAGGTAGTGCTGGGGGTTTGCCAGCCGAAACAGTCAATATAAAAGCAAAATCTGCGTATTTTGCCAGCTTTGCTATCATACGAAGAGTTGCAAACAGCTTTCATTTTCCAGTTTGTTTTTAGTTAGAACCAACTGATTTTTGTTATGGCTAAGTTCAGACATCGGACGGCAGGACGCGGTCATCTACAGTATGGAGGTGCACAGCATGTCTGTACTGGTTCCTTGTTCAAACGGAGCTGTCATGTGATGTACTACTCATGAAAACCTACGTCTGTCTGTATGTTGTCTACCTAATTGTCCTCTTTTTCTTTTTGATGCATGTGCACTTCAAACAAAGGACAATGAGAGCCCGGAATTTTCGCAGCACGCATGTACGGACATCATGGGTGCAAATGCGTGCTGACAACTCGTATGTTGACTGATGAGCGCCTTGTGCTGATGGAAAGGGCTGTTTTCAAGCACGTGTGGTTACCATCAACCGTATACATGAGTGACACAACTTCAGCGGTAGTCAGGCCGTGGCAAGGATATTCACTGTGTTGCGGGGGAAGCGATGAAGCTTGGGATCTCATTTGTAGTACGCCGATTTACGTGAAAAGCGCCAGTGCACGAAATATAGGATCACAGGTCGACGACGATCGCGGAGATTGTATGTAGTTGCAATTATATTCAGTGATACTTGACGCTATCGGAGATGCAGCGGTGAGTAGTTGACTAACGGAATTGTGGATCAGACTGCCGCTTTGTAGCATCGAATCTTCTTCGTAGTGGGAAGATGGCCGTAAATACAACGACGCCAGAATAGACTGCAACATACGTAGTACACGTGCACAAGACAACATAACTGGCTTAGAATACCGGGTATGCAAAAGAAGGCGTGGTGATAATCAACCGAGAACCGAGCACAGACCTTGGTTCGAACTTTAAACGGGATCATTCGCATGCCGGATTACAAAAAAACGGGTTCGCTTTGTAAACTATGCATCCCAGCGTCACCATTCCACACTGCACGACTTTGAAAGCGGTAAAGAGATATGTCTTGGCCATTCAGCAATCGCTGAAGTGGATTTAGACGCGTCGCCAGAGTCACGCTTGTCATGCATGGAACGATATATTTTGCGTTGACCCTCCAACTGGATTCACGGCATTTTTACGCGGCCTGTCTTATGCTGCTTGCGCACGCAGCTATTTATGAAACGAACCCAATCAGAATGAGATCCAGCAAAACCGTCTCAGGTATAAAGAGCCCCTGTTATCAAAGTTTTGTCCAAATTTCGGCACGCATCTACGCCAGCCAAATTCGGGCTGAGTGACGTTGCATCTTATCTGACGTTCTAAAAGCAGCCTCTTTCTCATTTTCAGCTTTCTTTTTTCTCCTTTAAGAACAGCTGCCTCTCCTTCGAATGCTTCGCGCCATACAGAACGCCAACATTCACTGCGACTATGAGGTCCGTTTCCTCACAGTCTCTGTCTGGACCGTTTCAAAGACCTGGTCAGGCTTGAGGTCACAGCAAATTAAGAATTTTGCTTGGGTGGGGGTTTTGCAGTTTCCTAGGGGGGGGGGGGGGTCACCGATGGAGATTACCTCTCCCCTCCGTTCACATGTCGAAATGGGCCCTGGGGCATTGCATGATTTGTCGAAGTTCTCTGTCGATGTTGGACGGGTCCCATAATTAAAACACCAAGGATGATCGAAACAGGGTCAACATTTTCATATAAATATGGCCAGCTCATGTTTCCCTCAGGAGCGTATCTTCTCTTCAGAGTCGATTGGTGAACACATCGCATGCAACAATATTGATGTGAACGTTCAAGACGGGGCGTACGCAGGAACGTGCAATGGAGCGGGAACACAACTTAAAACAGTCCAGTGAAAACTCAGGATAGCAGACCGGCGGTGTCCGTAAGTCCTAGCATTGCATGAAACGGCATCACTTATTCGATTTCAATTGTTTATTTCGGGCTTTTGATGGTCAACATGCTAATATTAATAAACACACATATCAACGCATGCAATCAAGCTGATAAGGCAGGGTATCTTGATTTGAGCCACTGGGGCCTCTTAATCCATCAGCGCACTGGTTCGCAATCATTCGAGGCAAAAACAACTTCGGACGTTGCAGTCTCCATACGCCGCACGGCATCCACCCTGTAACTAACATCGGGCGGTGGGCAACGTGCGGGCGGGAACGATCTCTTGTCAGAAAATAGTGCATATGAGCGGTTTATTAAAAGTATAATCTTGGACAATTCTGCCGTCCAAGGGTAAAACCTCATATGCCAATTTTGGCCGTTTTTGCCCTTTTATGTTGCCTGATTCGTCTACTCTGCTAAATTTGGTGATTAGAAGCCGTCAGTTCAAATTTTCATAAGTTCTTAGCCATTTCTTTTTGTTAAAAGATTGTGAAAATTTCAACTATTGGGTTTAATATTTGAATTCAGCATGAGAAGACAAATCAGATGACACAAAAAAGCGCAAACTGACCAGAAATGAACAAATGGGGTTTTACTTTTGGGCTGCAAAATTACAAGTACAATACGTGCCTACTCAAGCAAGATGTGTAAGGCTGACCTGGGTTGACACGTGAAATGGTTGGCAAAATTTCAAAAATGATACAGTGGTAACATGGCTGCAACAGCGACAGGGTTATTTACCTAAATAATCTGCAAACAGATTGAAAAGCACAGCACCATCATAACACGTTCACGTATTTAAATGAGTTGAGACCTTTATAACTTCACTACCAAACGTCTACTGAGAGCATTGAAGATTGCTGTCGAGGTTGATTCGCATCCATTGGCAGCACAACCATTTGAAAAGGCCAGACTTGAAAAATGAATGGGACGCACTCAGAGAGGCCGGTGGATTTCCGTAATGAGCCTGACGTGCTGACAGCTATGAACACTAAGCTGTATATGTTCATACGGCTTGTCGAAGATTGCTGGATGCCGCACACCCCTCTGAGCGGCCGCTGCGGTCCTGAGAGCTAAATCCGCCCGACTTTTCGGATGTGCCAGTTCTTTAAGACAATATCGGCTTACAGTGCCCTCAGTTTCACCGTTGGCATTATTGGCGGGTTACATCAGGCACCGGATGTAACCCGCCAACAAACGGTCAAAGCATTCGGTGCCAGTGAAACCCAGAAATGCTCCTCATGGTCCCACTTATCAAGATAGCTTACTGCACCTTTTCTGGCTCTGTTAGTATGCCTCGAAACTCTAATGCGACCTCAGCCGTGTATTTCATAAATTCATGGTTAAAAACCAACGTAAGCACAAATATAGGGGTCGACATATCAACCATTCCTGCAATTGTTATGCAGTCACTGATACTAGTGTCTAAACGGTGCATATGGCGGTGCCGAAGAACTCTTCGGAGCGGGCCAGACCCCACATGCACTGCACTGGGGTTTGGCACTGCTATTTGCGCCGATCCAGTTGCTAAGCAATTGCCTTGAAGGTGAGAAGTTCATAAGCAAGGAACATGGACGTAAACCAAAGTGCGAGGCTCTGTGAAAGCTAGTCGTAAGCTATTTGCAAGCCATGGCAATGAATGCTAACCGCTGACAGCATTAACGCAGACGAGGTACCGCTGACGCCTACCCGCACAGCTCTGAAAAAGTAGAGCATTCCACAGATTAGACGAATTTGGTAGCATCTGGTTGAGGAACGTGATCGATAGTAGCCCGCCGGATGTCACGCTCTTGTGGCACGTGACGGACCAGTTCTTGTCGCTGTGCGTGCGCAGATAATCCATAGGGTAACGTGAAAACGGAATGTGTTGTGATAAAGTGCCTTGCTGTGCTGATGGTCCGCCGGATCGGCATCCAAACTGTTTGGCGTTAGTGGTGTCACGCGTATTGGAATTTTCGGCGCTATGCTGTGTCTGTGGTGTTGGTCTTAGAATCTTTAGTTTGTGGCATCCAGACGGGCTGTTCTGGTGGTCGTGGCTCGATTATTTGTTTTTATGAAAAAGAAAGTAGCCATAAAGTGGGACAAACTTATAATTGAACGCTTCTGCTGTCTCGTAGAAAAGTCGCTTAAGACTGTAACAGGCGACAAACCGCAGGGCATCGTGGTTATCCCGGCCTCCCAGCGCTAGGCTTCCCCCACGCATT